GGCTCTGTACCTTACAATATAAAGTGCCTTGAGGTGACTGTCGTTGTAATTTGGCGTTAAATAAAATAAAAATGAATTGGATATCATTCTGTCATCATTCTGTGCTAAGGGTCTATTTCAGATGTTACTCAGAGCAGTTTCTTTTTTCCTCCTGTGAATGCAGTTTTACATTTGTTACAAAAAAAGAAGAGTCAATAAAGTAGGTTTTCTATTTAGACCTGTGGTCCCCAACCTTTTTTGCTCCACGGACCATTTTTCCATTTCACGGACCGGCCTTTAAGGTGTGCCGGATAAATACAACAAAATAAAATGATACGAGCAAGACAACTGTGGCATTTTGTAGATATAATAATAATAAACACAAATTCATTGTGTAACTTTATTAGCAGCGACCTCCTGAAGTGCGCCGACAACATTGAGAGTAACGTCCTCCTCTCTGCCCTTAACGCTCTCTGGTCGCTATGGTAACGTGTAAATATTTCTTTCAAAATTTAAATTAATTAAATTTATTTATTTAGGACAGTGCATGTTAATGAACATAAATGTAAAGAAATTACATGAATGTAAACATACCAGATTATAGCCAAGGGCTAATTTCCATCTGTTGTCCTTAAACATAAAAAAAAGACATAATTCATCATTCATTCATAATAAAAACTCCATCACCAAACTTACACATACACACCATTCTGTTCCCAAATAAAACATTAAAACTATACAACTTACACATGATCACACACTTGATTTGTCCATAACCAGTTTTTAACCTTTGCCTTAAACAAGTTGAATGTCGAACATTCTCTAACGGGTTGAGGAAGACTGTTCCACAGATGGCCACCCTTGACAGAAAGGACGTTCTGCCCCAATGCTGTCCGTCTGTGGGGTATAAACAAGTCTCCTCGGATTGTAGCTCAAGTGGTCCTGTCTGAGCTTTCTTTATGCCTAATAAACTGCTAAAATAAGACACAAAACTACAAAACAAATATAAACCCCTGAAAAACATAAATTTCACACCCGAGACTCAACTCTCGCGGCCCGGTACAGGTCCGTGACCCGGGGGTTGGGGACCTCTGATTTAGAGAATGCATAGATGTTTCTTGTTTTATGTCAAAAAAGAATCATGACATTTTTGGATTTTAGAAGATTAAAACAAAACTGTTGATGGAGTCACACTAGATTAAAGTATACGGAGGTATTTTCTTTATTTGTTCATTGTTTGGATGTAGAAATGAGTCTGGACAGAGATTTCTTGTTCATTGGTAGCTCTCAGTTACTGTGACAAGATTGATATTAGCTACAACTTTGCACCAGTCTCCTCGCTGTGTGCAGGTGCTCATACGAGCCTAAGGCTTGTCTTCTGTGCCCATTTGATATAACCAGGTATAGAAATAGTGTGGCAGTCCTTAGTGAAGAGCCAGCTGCTGTAACCACTTTATCTGCTGTCCGAGGCTTTCCAACACAATGAGCTATTGTTCTCTAACCATGTATTCTACTTTTGTCCCGTCTCCTACTAGTCTGCATTTTGTGTCTGCACTTGTTGCATCACAGTCCTTCTTTCATCTCTCGTCTTTGCGCTGAATATTTTATTTGTGCTTGTTTGCAAGCCATTTTACTTGTTTCTTGCATATCCACTTAAGTCCAATCCGTTCTCTTAATTTGTCTAGCCTGACCATTATTACATCTCCTCTTGCCTCCAGCTTTTGGTTCCATTTCTCTGGACTGTTTCTCCATCTGTGCTGATTTTTTCTTTCCCCTGGCAGTAACTCAACAATGAGAGTGAGTGTGATCATATCTGAGTTAAAAAGTGTGGTGAAGTCAAACAAAAGGGAGAGCTTATTGCAGACGGTGGATTATAGCTGGAAACAGGACTTTGCATTAAAAGCTTTTTTAAGGACGTGGCCTTACTTTACTGGATGGCCTCTGTGTCATGCAGTGACAGTGGAAACATGTAGTCTCGCAACGTGCACATGCCGGATTAGTAACGACAGCTACCAACATCAATGTTCTCAACTGTCCATACTGCCCCAGAGCATCACTAGCACAGTCAAAGAGACACAGTCTATGGCCACTCCCCACTCTGATCTGTCCACCTAAATACCCACTGACCTGTTTTCTGTAAGCTCTTCTGTCCGGCCTCTGCTGACCAATGTAATGAAAAAGACATTCTGTGGCACAGTAAAGTGAATAAAGACAAACAAGCTCTCATTTAAAACTCTGACCTTGCTGCTCATCCGTGTCTCTGTGTACTGGGAGGTGTACGGATATGGGAATTGGAAATCAATGTACCGAATAGGACGAGGCAACGATTTCAACTCTTCCTCTTTTTTTGCCTTGCTCCCTTTCTTTTGTTCAGAGGCAATCACTGCTCTGTTTGTCCTGTCCTTATCTCTGTTGTGTAGGCCTCCTGTTTTTTCCCTGCAAAGAAAAAATCATTTTACAAAATCATTTGTAAAATGATTTTGTAAAAATCAGAGCAATATTTCAAAAGAAACATTCAAGTAAAAGTGCAGTTTCTTTTTGAGACAAGAGCATGCAAAGGATTCCTTGACTGCTACAATTATTTGAAAAGGTGCTTCATATGATAGTTGATGACTTTTATATTTCAGTATTATTATTATTATTATTATTAATAATAATAATAAT